TATGTAACATTTTTTATATATATTAGATCTCCGTTCAATTTTTATCATCAAAAGTTAGTTCTACCTTCGCAGGACCTCTGCTCTACTTACCTCCTCTCTGGTTAAAGAATGGAATATAAGTCTCATTTATCAAGTTGGTGTAAAAATTTAGCTTGATAAATTAAGAAGTTGTAAACTTTATTATCACAATTGCCAAGTTGACCAAATGTTCTTCTGGTTTTAAATGAATTATGTATGAGTCTAGTATCAACTGGGTGTTCAAAGATAGTTTACTGCTTGAAGAACTTATCAATGGACCAACTAATTATAAAACAGTTTTTAATGAAAATAAAAACGAATTATCAAAAGATTTAAATCAGCTATTTGTGTATATTTAAACACTTTATTTTTTGTGAGAAGAGATTATTGATACAAGCACCATAAAATAATTCTACTACCAAAAGCTAGGTTAATTCAAAACCTTTAACTCAATTTTGGTCATGAATTATTTTATTAGAATTGATGAGTTTTTATTTATTAACTACCTAACACCATATTATTAGAACTTTATTTTGTAATGTAATGATTTTATCAGCGTTCCAAAATAATTTTCTAAATCAAGAACTTCTATATTAAAAAAAGTACTCATTTAACAACTAATCCCCCCTTATAACGACGTTTTTCATAATTTTGCGAAAAATGTGGTTTGCTTTCACAATTCGATTAAGGCTGTTTTAGTTAACCTTAAATAATTAAGTAAGGTTTTTTTGTTTTCATTATTGTCAAACAATAAGTGTATTTGATAATAACTATTAGGAATATATTTTTCTAATTTTTTTTTGATAAAAAGTAACATCAAATTACAAAAATTTAGCCAAATTCTATATATGTCATATTTATTCTAAACTAAAAGAAGTTTTTCTACTAATGCATTAAATGTCATAAGGTAAAACATTTTATTGATGTCTTAATTGTTTTTACAAAACAAAACTACCTCTTAGTTATAAAAGTTTTAGTAACACCCCTTCAGTCAATATTTTCAAAAATTAACAAGAAGCCGTTAAGCTCGGTTTGAAACAGCCGTGTACTTCTACAATATATTGTACAAATTATGTTGCAAGCTTTTTCTTATATTTAAATTTTTCTTATCTTGTGACAATTCCTTTGACTTTCCTATTATTTTTTAAATAGAAAATAAGTAAATATAATATGTAAGATTTTACAAATAAGTTTTATAAATGAAGTTTTGATTTTTTTATGGCGCTGTTGCACCATAAAAAAAATCAAAATTTTATTTATAAAACTTATTTTATTATTATTATTATTATTATTATTATATATTATTAAATTTATTTTTTATTATCATTATTATTATTATTATTATATATATATATATATATATATATATATATATATATATATATATATATATATATATATATATATATATATATATATATATATATATATATTATTAAATTTTATTGAAAACATAATTGTTGCTTTTGTGCAATTATATTTTCAATAAAATTTTAATTTCTTCTGTCCTTTAAAAGTTATACTTTTAATTAATTATGCAATGAAGTATACATGAGAGGAACAATTCCTAAAATCCAGTCCAAAGTTATGAAAAAAACTTAAAAAAAAACTTTATCTTACCATTTAGAGGTAGCTCAACAAGATTGTAAATTTGTATAAAGTATTTATAAATAATATATAAAATTATCTTTAATATATATAAATTATATAAATTTTTTATTTACATTACTAGATTCATATATATATATATATATATATATATATATATATATATATATATATATATATATATATATATATATATATATATATATATATATATATATATATATATATATATATATATATATATATATATATATATATATATTATCATGTATAAATAATTCACAAAAGTCAAACTAAAGTCAAAAATTGCTAAACTTATTTCACCATATACAGTTCTTTCTTGTGTTCTAGCAACATTTTCTATAAACAAATTTCATTAAAAATAAATTTATAGTGAAAAATTTTTCTGTTTATGCTCATATAGAAATTTCTCTTACCATTTACAGGTAGCAAACTTTAAATGGATACCTGCCGATACAAGTTGTGTGCATTTTTAAAGAAAATGTTTAAAAAAAAAATTTAGGATAAATTTTTTTGATTGAAACTAAATAATGAATGCATACCAAAAAAATTTAAATTATTTTTTTAGTTAAAGCTTGCCTTCATTTTTTTTTTGGTTCTTGGGGTCTGTAAAATGTTAGCCGCAATCTGCAGGCTTGATAATTTATTCCATGCGTGTTAATTCATAACTGTTTCGGTATATGATGTCATCGCAATATCTTTTTAAGATAGCGTTGTTTTTTTAAAGATATAAGTATTTTTTCTACTACAATCAGAAAATCAAATATTTGTATAAATTTTTACTAAACCACAAAAAGAATTTTGTTTTTACTTGCTTTATTATTACTTTGTTTGAAAAGCCAGCCAAAATCATGACATAATTATACATATTTTGTGATTACTAGATTTTGCAGGCAGAGAAAAAATAAAGGCAGTATGATACATTTTGTCGTTTTATATTTAGTTCATGTGGTTTAATAGAGTTGTTGGTTTTGTGTTTAATTTAAATTTAGTTATGGTTTAACTCTTTCACTACCGCAAGCCACTGGTAGCGGTTTTCGAGCATGCTTTACAATTTATCTTGTTTTGTACATAAATTTCTATTCTAGACACAGAATTTGTTTGTTCTAAAGGTTTAATTAATTCTCTACATAATTAAGAAAAAATAAAATATATATTGTGTAAGTATAAAAAAGTTATCAAAAATGTTAAAAAATCTTGAATAATCCTTCATAAAAAAAATGTTAAGTTAAGTATTTAGTTACCAAAGTAATTACCAAATTATTTTGAAGAAAAAATATTATTTTTATTCATTAAATGAGGTTTGTTTTGGATTTAATGTTTTAGTTACTACTTAAAAAGAATGGTTTTAAGCACTTTTCACTTTTGCACTTTTTTTCTTATTGTTTAATGATACATATTAAAAACTTTATTATTATCGAATTTTAATTAATTGTCAATGTTATGCTATTCAAATGTTATTCAAAAAAATGTGCAGTTGCTACAAAAAGATTTTTGTTTAGCTGGTAGCAAACAATTTAATGTGATTCTTCGTTTTTATATTTATATTGTAACCATTTTTTGTGTATTTTAGTACAAATATTTGTTTTAACTTTAATTTAGTTTGATTTGAACGTTTATTAGTAAAATAAGTCATTTAATATTTATTTTCTACTTAGTTTGGTTAATATGTTTTATTCAAGTCACTCATTTTTTATTCAGTTTATACTTTAAATTAATTTATACTCTTTAGTAAAATTATTCTTTTAGTATCTAGTTTATATTTAGTTTAAACCAGTACGTTTTACTGTAAATATTCGTTATATATAAAATTTTTATTTTTATAAATTTTATAAATTTAATTTTTATTTGCATCATAAACTTTTGTATTGGATTTAGTAAAAAGTTATACAATTAACATGATTTTGTGATTGTGGCAAAAAAATAATATGACATCTTGAAAAGAAAAATTATACAATGCATCATATACCGAAACTGTTATAAATTAAACACGCGTGAAATAAATTATTAAGTTTGCAGATTGCAGCTAAAATTTTACAGACTCCGAGAATCAAAAAAAATTAAAGATGGCAAGCTTCGACTAAAACGTGAATTTTAAATTTAATGGTATGCATTCATTATATAGTTTTAATCAAAAAAATTTAGTCCAAATGTTTTTTTTTAAACATTTTCTTTAATATGAACACAACTTGTCTCGGCAGTTGGGAATCCCTTTAACAAGAAACTTGTGTCTATGATAACGCATTACTTGAATCAGATTTTGATTTTGATGTTCTTTTAATTAGAGAATTTGTACTTTTCAATAAATACAACCCTCCTTTCTGCGTTGTCACTTACAACCTATGGATGATGAACAATATCCAGTTTTGTTATTGTAGCTGAGCTTTCACATATGGATTGGTTTTAAAAGTTCTGCTATTTAAGAATCTCTAAGCTTGTTGTTTCCAAGCTGTTGCATAGCAAATAATATAACATCTCTATCGCTCTGTGTGGTCTTTCAACTTCTTCATTGTCAATTTCAGTTTTGTAATTTGATTGACCTATAAATTTCCAGAATTATTGAAAATGTTGAAAGATAGAAAATCTGAACTAGAAGTGTCAGCTGACATGCTTTCATTAAACACACTAGCCAAGATTAGTATGAATATGTGATAGTGGCATCTAAAATGAAGTAGGTCTTTTTCCAACTTCAATTTAAGCAAAACACAGACACCATTTCTGCAACTTTTGAAATTGTAAAAAGTACTCTTTTTACAATTTCAAAAAAAATAAAAGGGGGAGAATCAATACAATTGATTGTATTGATTCTCCCCCTTTTATTTTTTTTGAAATTGTAAAAAGAGTACTTTCTATTTGTGGGAAAAAATTAAAACTTGGAAAAAATGATTATTTTGATTAAAGTTTTTAGCTTGGTAATTTTGTCTTTGAAAAATTATTGGCACCCTTACCCCCCTATATTAAACTATTTTCCAATTAGGTCAACCTGGCTATCAAAAAAAGCATAATTAAATAAGGATTTTTAAAATAATAATTGTTTTATTAAAAATGAAGACTGAAAAAAAAAAAATGAAGATTTTATCATATGAAAACCACCTGGATCATTTTCAAAGATGGGTTTCTTGAAAATATGTTGTATTTTTATACAAATTTTAGTTTAGTAAAAAACAGTGTTCGAAGTGGAGAAAAAAAGGTTACGCAATGGTATACAGTAAATTAAAAATACCATCCCGCCTAATCATTGTTATATATAGAGATTTATAAAAAAGTGGCGGGATGGTTTATAAGGTGACAAGATGGTATCCCGCCTCACTTCAAGCACTGGTTAAAAATTTTTTGAAAAAAAAAAAGCAAACCTTTAACGTAGCAAACAGCAAAAGAAAGACATTCGTTAAAACTAGCAGTAGGAACATTGACATCTGGATCTCTATGTATAAAAAAAAAGTATAAAACTTTGATCAAAATAAATTGTAATATCTCATCAATATTATTAAAATACAAACAATTTTAAGGTAAAAAATTTTTCCGTATCCTTTGGAGATGCATAACAAATGTAACAAATGAAAAAGTTTTTCAATTAGTTTTATACCTTTTTGTTGACCTCTAATCCACCTTATATTATTTTTCTTGATTAAAATTTATATTAGAAAAAAAAAAGCCAAAACTGTTAAACCATCTTCAATTAATTGTAGCTTGTAATCAATGTCTGTCACCCCCCCCTCCCCACAATTCATTAAAAATACTGAACTTAATTGCAAAGAGAGAAATTTGATGATTTCAGGTTCAAAGAGTTCTAATTAAAACTCATTATTAGGGGGTCCAAAACTTTTTAAGTATTTTGTGTAGTTTAACCACTTTTTCTTAATTAATTTTTAATGCTAATTTCAAATTAATACTTTTTTTTCATTATATTTTTTCATTATATTTTCATTATATATTTGGGCTTCTACTTCAATTTCAATAAAAGTGATTATTTTGACAAAACAATCAATTGTTAAATTAAATAAAATCATTATTATTATCAAAGTAGAATCTGTGATAAATATTTTTCTTGTGGGTAATAATAAAATATGTTGTAAATAATGTATGTTGTTATCAATAAAATATGTAATCATTGTGTAGCCATAAATACAACAAAAAATTAGGCATTATAAATAAAATTACACCATATAAGGAACAATTCGTAACAATTACTAGTGAAAATGTGAAATAACTTAATTGCAACCATTGTGCACTGATTTGAGTTTTTACTCAGAATCAAGAGTTCTGAGGTTCAATGTCAGCTCTGACCAGATAAGCATCATCGGTAAGGAAGAAGGTGTAAATTTCCTAGTTAAATTGCTTTTCCACTGTGTTTTGTGATAAGACACTTTGTGATAAGAGGTTCGATGTCAGCTCTGATCAGATAAGCAACATCGGTAAGGAAAAAGATGCAAATTTCCTAGTTAATTTGCTCTTCCACGTTGCTTTGTTAAAAGATACTTTTCTTGGAGCCGCTTAATAATTTAAAAAAAAATCATTGTAAGTAATTATGAATTGTTGTGAAAACTTTCCATGTTAAATAGAAATTTTAAATTATTAGGTTATTCTTCTGTAGACATAAAATGATGTTTTTTGTATTTTTATCAACAATTATGATTTTAAATAAAGTGGATCTTTGCTGCGATGATCAACTATTTTTTGATTATTACTTAAATAAACATCCCATTCATCAATTATTTTTGACATTTAACAGATCTTTCTCTTTTTCAATATACTTATTGACATCAGAAAGTAAATGGGCTGCCTTGTATTTTTAAACAAGCTAAGATATAATTGCACTTGGATGCCTAATGTAAAGCTTACAGTTCTTTTTTTGCTAATCTGCTCTGTCGCTGTTGTTTCTGCAACTGGTTACAACTGTATTTTATATTTTTTAATTTTTTAAGAATGAGACACATTTCCTGAAATATTTCTAAATTACCAAAATCTTGATTTCACAATAGTTTAGATTTAAGTATATTATCACAAAGAATTTTTTTAATAGACCGTATTTCCAAAGCTGATTACAATGTGACCCACGCTGACGTATGGCACTTATTTTCTGTTGAAGAAATATAGCTAAATTTAGATAAACTGTTTTCAAAGATGATTAATCCAAGTTTTTTGATGCATATATACGAACTACTTCTGGGATTACTGAGCAGTCAATCTTATTTAATAAAAACTTCCAAAAGATAATTTATTGTTGACTTTATTTAAGACTTCTAAAGAAGTTTAATAATTGTGATTTATTTGTTTACTAGTTTATGATTTACTAATTTATTTGTTAGTTACTTCTTGTTGCACTATTTTGTATTTTAATCGGTTTCTAAATTCAGTTTTTTTTTAATTTTTTTTTAATATCTTTGCTTCCAACAAGGCTGCAAGCAACCACTAATTAGAATTGGAAGTTACTGGAAGAGAAAAGATGAAGATTGTAGAGCAAGATAACGATTGACAGACGACTTAAAAGATTGCAAATTATATGAATCAGGAAAGCAAGATGAAGGAAGCGAGTTCCAAAGAACTGATGTTTGAGGAAAAAAACTAGACAAATAAGAGTTTTTGGAGCACTTAGGAACAGTAACAGAAAAAAGATGAGACTTAATTGAATGACGAGTAACACGAGAATGAACGCTAGCTCTTTAGAGCAGTTCCCATTATAGTATTTGTAGAAAAGAGAAAGAGAAGCAACATTACGACAATGTGTTTACAATGTGTTTTTGCACCTTGTCTAAAAGAGAAAAGGCATCATTAGAAGATCCGCCCCAGATATAGCAACAGTATTCCATACAAGGCCGGATTTGAGATTTATAGAGATAGAGAATAGAATCCAGAGTAAGAAAGTGACGAGCTCGATAAAGAGAAGCAACTTTCGCAGATGCTAATTTTGAAACGGATTTGATATAAGGTTTCCAAGAAAGATCAGAAGTAAGAGTTAATCCTAGAAGATGAAGGGTAGGAGACTCATCGAGTAATGGTAGCAACAATGCCACCTTAGATGTGAGAATATCTGGAAGATCGTTAATGTAAATTAAAAAGAGTATAGGGCCAAGGATTGAACTTTGAGGAACCCCTGAGGTTATAGAATAAGAAGAAGAGTGCTGTCCATCAAGGACAACTTTTATATTACGATTGGAAAGGAAGGATTCAATAATCTTAAAGATGTTTCTAGATACACCATAAGAAGAAAGCTTATGGAGAAGACCAGCATGCCAAACTTCAAACCCTTTAGAAATGTCAAGAGCGATGGCCTTAACCTCTCCGACTTTATCTAATGCACGATAAAACCTATCGGTTATTACTGATAGCAAATCCGCCGTAGAACGAGAAGATCAAAATCCATATTGATGATCAGAAAGTAGGTTATGAGATTCGAGATTAAGTGTTTGTTAATTAAAGATTCAAAAACCTTGCTTATGATAGGAAGAAGACTAATAGGACGGTAGTTAGACGAATCGGATCGCTCTCCAGAATTTTCAAAAATAGGGATAACAGATGCTGCTTTCCAGCAGGCTGGAAAACAAGACTCTGATAAGCATTTGTTAAATAGTTTTGAAAGGATAGACGACAGCTCCGGAGAACACTTCTGCAAGACTATAACAGGTATGTTGTCCAGGCCGCAAGCTGTAGAAGAGTCTAAGCGGGAAATCACTTTAGATACATGAGCTGGAGTGATACGCATGTCGAGCAATGGATCAACCTGTTTGACGGCTATATCAGGTAGAACGCAACTAGTGGCATCAAGAGATGATATTGATGAAAAGTTCTTAGCAAACAATTCAGCTTTGTCTTTTATGTGAGGTGACAAAGTCTGAACCATACAAAAGAGGTGGAATTACAGACGTACCCTTATTATTGATACTATTAAAGATTCTCCAGAAGTCACGAAAGCCTAATTTTTGTGATGAAATACGAGATTTCATGATCTGAGAATAGCGGGCTTTGGTGTTAGACAAAACCTTTTTACAATGGTTCCTAGCAGTAATAAACAGACGTCTGTTTTCTGGAAAATTGTTTTGCTGATAGATATGGAAGTAATGGTTTCGATTGGCAATTGCAGCAGCACAATGTGAGGAAAACCATAAAGAAGAGTGAGGCTTGACCTGGAATCGTCAAGAGGAAATAAAGAATTCCATGCCAGCCTGAATCCACGAAGTTATGTAAGAAGCACATTTGTCAACAGGGAGACGAAAGATTTCTACCCAGGGGCCATCACGAAGAAAATCACGGAAAGAGTCCCACTCAGCTTTAAGGTAGTTGTAAGATGTACGATGATAGGGGGATTCTGATAGTAAAAAGTTTAAAAAATTTATCGCTAAGTATTTTTTAGCAAAGTAAATCAAAACAAATTTATACTCTAAATAAGACTTATTTTTGTTTAATGCAACTTTCATTCATTTTATTTCAAAGTTATCCAATCAAAATTTAAATTGCATAAGTTTAAACATAAAGTTGCGTAACTTTACAAGCAAAGAATACACTGCAAAGATTTCTAGTTTTAAAGTTTTTTAATATTTTTAAAATGTTAAAAATTGAAATAGAAGATCAACCACAAAAAAACAACAACAATTGAACTGTTCATTAAACCTTTCTAAAAAAATTAATTAAGAATAATTGGTTTAACAAAAACTATAGAATTTCGGCGCTCCCCCCCCCCCTATCATGTTTAATTAAGGTCAATTAGCGGTAGTATATAACCTCCTCATCTGTAGTGGCTTACTCGGCCTTGAGAAAGTAAATAACAAAAAAAAAAATAATAAATAAATTTTTTAATATTATATTAGTTCCTATAAAATACAAATCTGTAAAAACTATATAGATTTTAATGTTGATTTTCCAAAATACTGTATTCAGTTGATTTATTCAGAAATTCATTCAGTTTCTTAGTACTGATTAAATCATAATCTATTAATCAAATTTATTTTTTGTTTAACTTTTTGATATTGAAAAACATATGCATGGGACAGAATTATAAAGAACTCATATTTGAAGAACAAACTATACGAATAGAAGGTTTTTGAGCATAAAGGAACAGTTACAGTAAAAGGATGCAAGTTAGCTCATTGACAGGCCATGTGAGATTGAGTTTTGGTTGATAAAACAAGTGATTTTTGGTATAATACAAAATTTTTTGGCTTTATACAAAAATTACCTAATATATAAAAATACCCTTATTATTTACTTATAATAATAAATTTATTAGCACTTTGTATTTTTATTAGCTTTTTCTTATTAATATTTTTATTATATGTTTTTTAATGCAATTGCTAGAGTTAGTTAACATAATAGTTCTATTTTTTAGGATCTAATCTATCCAGCCCCAATCCTTTAAGTTGTAGAAGATCATATAAATCCAACACACATAAATCTAGTAGTTGTTGGGAGGCAATTTTTGGCAAAATT